CAACGAACTTCTAATGACCACAAGCACTTTTTATACACTGATCCACAAACATGCTAAGCAATCTACAGGACAACAAATGTCCTTGATGCCCTTTACTTAGTCTAGTATTGAATCATTCCCAAAGCTTTCTACGAGGGTTGAAGGAGAGGTAATGCCTCCGTCTCCATAACTTTGATTTAAATAAGTATATAATAATAAATGAAACAGAAAATAATTCTTAAAATGAACTCTTTTGTTGCTTCTATTTACTTGTCCACACAATTACAGCCATTCACTGTGCAGGGGATGGACAAGTTTCTTAAAGGCATCACTAAAGCACTCCACCGGGCCCTGGGAGTCCTTTCCATCTCTTCCTCTGAGCCAAATAGATGCCCTTGAAGCTATTCCTTCTTTTCATGGGAACGTCTGGCCTTTATGTCAGATGGGAAAGATAGATCCAACTTCACAATTGCCTCTTGGATGGCTCATAAGATGTGAGGACATATAGCAATAAAATTAAACTCTGCTTAACCATTGCTGCAACATTTTGAGTGTTGCACTGTACCATTCTGAGTTGATAACAGCTCCAGATTCAAAGAAATCCAAGCAAATAACCACATCTGTATGCCCTCAAAAAGTGTAATCAAAGCTGGGGTTTGAATGCTTTTTTCCATAAGTGTTTTGGATGCTTCATTTCTCGGTAATAATGATGAGCTTATCTTTTGTTGGCTGTCTCAAGGCTATGAAGCAGTTCATAACATTCATTCTTACTGTATCAACAATAATTGCTGACAAATTTAGTCTTGAAGCTCTCATCCCTGCCAAAGCATTCAAGGAACCAATCTGGAACAAACCTTCTGATATTGAAGAAGATCCATAATGTGACCTACACGTTCCTGTGAAACATTATGTTGACAGCAATTTCCCTTTGATAACCTGTTGGTTGTTCCTAATTGATTCACCTGACTTTCTCACGTGGAACTCAGAGGTTGCTGCAGTAGGTCATCTACAGCACTTCATTTCTGACCATAAAATTGGCTCCTCCACTATCTTTAATTCTTAATTTTTATTCTTTTAGCCAAGCAACACACAGTGCCCACATCCACATCGTCATCACTATAAGCAAGCAGCATTCAGCTGTGAATCTTAATTGAAGAGACTCCTTCAACAGCCAAAAATGTCAGGTACACTGATGAGTACTCACTCCAGGCTTTCATTTCACAAATAACAGCAACACAATCTTTCCCCACAGCAATTTCCCACCAACTGAAGTGAAAGAACAAATGCTAACACACACACACACACAAGTTTCCAAGAAGCTGTCACTAGCATCTGGTGGTAAATTATAATGATGGAGGCATTACTTTTCAGCCCTTATATTTATTCTCACTTATTTCCACCATGGATTGTTTATAGCACATTCAGTAACCTAACTTTAACTTCATATTCATGCAAAATGTTCTATAATTCACCCTTATTTTTGCTTTTGCTTTTCATTTCTTATTATTTTATCAAAATATAAAATATAGAAATACAAAGAAAAATAAATAATCAGAAATTAGAGGAGTGGAAGTGTAGGGTAGAAGGAAAAAGGAAGAGAAAGGCATTGACTTCCGACTCTTTTTGGCACACTAGAATAAGGTAATAACATACAATCTCAACTTTTTGCTTTTACTTCATAATATACATTAGTCATTGTAGTAGTAGCAACCTATCTAACCAACAAAACCCAAAATCAAACCTATCTCATCAGAAAACCCAAAATCAATTTTCATTTTTTCCACCTCAGGCACAAAGTTTCTAAGTATTGCTTCCTTTAATCAGAGCAGTCAGTTCAGCCATCTCTGCTAACTCCATCAACTTTTGCAGCCATTCATCCATTGTGGAAATCAAAGCATCCTTCCATTTTTGTGCATAAAGTATTGCTGCTGTCAGCATATATAACATCAAAGTTCCTGGGTTTTTTTCCCTAGTTCTCAATCCATTGAACCCAAAACAGTTCAGCCCTATTTTTATCATATACTTTCTCTAAATAACCAAACATGCAATAACACTTGTTGCTTGCATTTGTATTTTTTTCAATGACCTGTTCACGGGCAAAATGAGGGTCATCATATCCCTTACTTGCCATGAACCTGCATGGCATTTCCCAACCATTGTTCATAGTTTCTCTTGTACTTTTTCCATCTTCCTAGGCACAAATAAATTTCATTCCTTCTTGATACTTTCTCCTTTATACAGGGAAGCAATCACAGCCTTCCTCTAGTCATAAGGCACAGGTGCCATCTCATACAAGCTAAACAATTCACAAGCTATTCCATATGGAAGCCACATTTGTTTTCAACACCACCTATACCATCTTATCATTTTTCAATATTTGACAAGGATATGTGACTTCCTTCTAATTTATAGCACTAGAAATACTATCACTTATAGCAAGCATCCATTTCAATTCCGAACCCATAAAATTCTGTTTCCAGAGGTGGTATTCAGCAGGTTCTGGCCAGTTCTGGAGAAAAGGTAGCAGAAATTTTGAGTAGTTTGGAGAACCGGCCAATACCACCTCTGACTGGCCTCACCCCCATCTATTCTCTGCCTCCCATTGAGTCCCAACTGATCGGTTGGGTCTTCTTTGGTTGCCCTGCACAGGAGAACAGACCTGGAAAGCAGGTTGGTGGGGTGGGGCGGGATTTTGCAGTATCTTTCCCCTGCCATGTCACCAAGCCATGCCACGCCCATCAGCCATGCCCACAGAACTAGTAGTGAAAATTTTTGAATCCCACCACTGATTGTTTTCTTATATACATTTTCCTTATCCAAGGCCTCTTTCATGTTACCATTCCATCAAATATTTTTTCATCCTTCCTAATAACAAAACTCCACCCACCCAAATTTGAGCACTTTGTAGCATAATTTTCTTATTTGGGTTCCAAGCAATGTCTTCTTCTTTTCTTATACTCACTGTATTGTAAGTTAAGGGTTATTGTCCTACCTCCCAGCCTTTCAAGGTAAACCAGACTAGTCTAAAATAAGGAAAACAAATGCTGCTTTTATCCTACAAGACTGAATGTAATCCCCCTCCCTTTATCTTCAAGACAACTAGGGAGGGTCAAGTCTGAACGTTTTTCTCAAATTACATTTCTGTCTTGGACTCAATTTTATCTGACCATTGTCTTGGTTGCAGTTCTTCCTGTTCCTCAAGAGTCTTATAGATTACCGTGCTATATCTTGAAGTTGCCTAGCCAAGAATTTTTTAAAAACAGACATGATGCAGATACCTTCTCAGCCATCAGATTTCTTCCATTTTTCTTTTTATTGGAATTGTTTGCAACTATGTTCATTTCCCATGGCCCCTAGACATGTTTCTCCTTCGAGATTTCAAGCCATAGGATCTAACCTACCTTTCCTCCGAGTTCAACAAATATGTTCTTCTGAAGCCCAGCATGCAGATCTGATTCTTCTTAGTTCCTTCTCCCCTGGATGTCATGAATTCACGGATAACACAATCATTTCCCTTCAAGGTACTAGTCACCATGACTTCTTCAACCAACTCATCCCTTTTAGTAAGGATTTGGTCTAGGATAATAGACCCTTTGTTCTTTCTTTCACCTTCTGGCAAATGAATTTATCAGCAGGAGAGCAAGAATTTATTGAGCATCTGATTCTTTGTAGAATTAGATTCCCAGGAGATGGAAAATGAAATCCCCATTATCACCATCTCACACCTCTCTGAAAAATTGCCTATATTTATCAATACCACTCCATAAAATCAGATCACCTTCATTTATTCCCTTCATCCTATTTTAAAATTTTCATTTGTTAATTCATGCTCTTTACAGTAATTCCTCCAATACATTCTATGTCATCATCTTCTATATGATCATCACCAGTTGTAATCATAAATATTGACTTCTACTATTCTTTATGGTTTTGAAAATCTAGATTTTTCTATGTTCCTTTTTAGAAGAGAAGAGAATGTATGGATGATCTTACCAGTCTTAACTACATAAAACATTCTCTGATTATGTTAAGGAGAGTGACCGTCTGTTTTGGTACATTTTATGCTAAGATACCACAAGCACATCCAGAGCCTAGTTTTACTCCAAGCATGTTATTCTCTGTAAATCAGGATCTTTTGATCTATGGAGTTTTTTTGCAAGCAACAGTCTGCTGCCCTCATTCTACCAGCTACTTAGTTCATTGTCACTCAAGCAATGTTTAAACTATAAAATATGCATAAAACACTTTCAATACTCTTAATGCTGCTATTTGTAGTAGTACTAATATTGTAGGATATTCGCAAAAAGAATATAAAAGTGACCCAACATTTCCAAAGAAAAAAGTCAATAGCAACCATGAACCATGATAAAGTCCAGTACACAACAACGTAACAAAAGTTCCAGTCCTAACATACTGCCAACCAAAAATGCAGGATCAGCCCCCGAAGTGTTTTCCTGAGTGCAGATTATTTGGGATGCCACTGGGTCTCTCCTCTTTAGGATGACCAATTTGCATACTTCTAAGCAAACAACTGATTGCCTCGGCATGCTTTTTTCATTCCATATTGGAAGAACCCCAAAGAATTTCACAGCAAGATATTTGTGTGTATGCATCCCTCAGCCCGGGAAGGCATAAATGGGTGAGGCCTTGCCAGAGTAACTGATCTGCCACTGTGACATTATAGGATCCTGGGACAAGGAGCAACATCCTGACTTTGCAGTCGGGAGGCTTTGGGAAGTCTATAGCAGCAACCCCTGCAGAAAGGACACCTCCAGCCAAGGCCAATCTTCATTCCTCTTCTCAATACTGAGAACAGATTCTGGTGGAGTCTGGCTCTGATCAGGCACGGTTTGCCTGGCCCAGTTGAGAAACAGGTGAGGATGAAGGAAAGGGAAGGAAATTTCAAAGGTCATCACAACAGCTACAGAGCAACAAAAGGAGCCCAAATTGCCTTGGGGGCCCTCTGTCTGCTTTGAACCAAGACCCTAGTCAAAGCCAAAGGAACAGAAGGATCTACATACCTCCAAAGTCAGGCCGGAGACGGACATCATACCCTTTCAGCAATTTGTCCACAATATCTTTAACCACGGATATATTCCCAGTGGCTGGGCTAGAAGACAGAAAGGGTAATGTGATCTGGTCACTATCAGTGCCGCACACCCACACCCACACCCACACCCAGCATCCCACAAGATCCTGGACTGTAGTGACCAAGGAAAGCTAAAGGAGAAACAGCTGCTCTGGTTGGAGAAAGACTGGGGGGAGATCAGCCACCTCAACTGCAGCAAGTGGGCTCCCACACCAGCCTCTCATGTCGGGTTGCTCCCACTGCCTGCCTCCTCTCCTGAGCCCAGAAGGTTCTGCCCAGAAGTTGATGTGCCATTTCCTCTCCCCCACCCCCTGAAGTCTTCAGGGAATACCAGGAGGGGATCTGCATCTTCATGGCATCCTGGTTCCTTTTGGCAGGCCCTTAGCAGCCTCACAGCTTCTGCCCCAGAACCCTTCCTGGGCTTGACCTTCTATGAGATGTGCAACTTTTGAAATCAGTTCACAAGGCTATGGCCTTTACCCAAAGAAGACACCGAGGCTGCTCTTCCCCCTTAATTCTCCTGGGGCTTCCTGAATATGGTTGTCATTCCTACTCTCCCTGCTCCATCCACTGCCAGACAGGCAGGAGACTCCGGAGTCCCTGAAAATGCTCTAAAGAGCAACTGCTTTTCTGCAGCCAATGACAGACAAGACTCCATCTTGGCCTTGGTGGTCTTGGCGTGATGAGCCTGCCTCCTTTCCTAAATCTCTTATTTCCCTCTTAGAGACCGTGGCCGGCAATACTCTTTTCTGTCCCTCCAAAGGGGCAAGGTGGGTGGGGAGAAGGAAGCAGGTTGAGACACAAAGGAAGCAAAACCCTGTGGCCTGAGGCCAAGAACCCAACCCAGCAGCTGCTCCTCACTCCTGTAACCATTGCACTATATCCAGCCCCATGGACCTTGTTCTCTCTGCAGTCACCATTCTTATCGCCCTTTCCCAAGGCAAAGGCACCGTTTCCTTTGTCATAGATTGAAAGCAAACAGAAACTGCAACAGGATTCTCAGCCAGCCAAGGTGGGTAGGAAGCAGGAGTAGCCTTCAGAGCAGCCCTCCTGCCCACCACCGCATATGTGATTCAGACACAAACAGCAGAGAAAAGCAGCATGTGGCCTCTCTGAACGTGTGTGTGTGTGTGTGTGTGTGTGTGTCTGTGTCTTTAGCCAAGCCAAGGAAGCCTTTCTTTTCTACCATGGCTGCTGCTAGTCTCCTGGGCTTCTTAATGACTCAGCCCAGAGGAAGACTTGGGGAGATTGGTTTGCATTTGTCTTCAGAAAAAGGCCCCGGGCCCTTGAGCAGAGGCAAATTGTGCTCCCCAGCCAGGAGGCATGTTGATAGAGCTGGGCAGTGCCCTGATGCATCCTTTCTAGATATTTATGGGATGGTCACTTTCAGAATGCTGTGCACAATTTCTGGTCTTCCCATATTAAAAGGTATCTTGAAGAAGTGAAATAATACAGAAAAGGCTGATCCCAATGATCAGGAGATTGATACTGTGCAGTATGTAAAGGATCTAAACTTGTATCTAATGTGGGTCAATCAAATGAAGGAAAGCGTTTTCTCTAAAATAACAGACCTCACAGAAATCATCTCATGACACAGGAATGTGGTAGAAGATTTGAACTTGACTAGAGGGATGTTTATCTTCAAGCATAACATTCATGGGATTTGTTACTGGAAGGCATAGGCAGTGGTGGCCAGGTTTTTTTTAATGAGATTGGAGAAATCATGGAGGTGGAATACTCAAGTCCTGATGGCACAATACTTCCTTAATAGGCACAAGCACTGCCTAATTCTGAAGACCATGATAGTAATAAAGGGGTGATGTGATTTGATAATTCTCCAGATCAGTTTTCACAGCTCAAGTCCTCTTTGGTCTTCCAATGGGAACCAAAGGCCCAATCCTGCAAAGCTCTCCTAAGATGTTATGCTACATGGAATCAGCTTCCAGCTCTTTCTGACATCATCTGTCCCTTAACACGGGGTGCTTCTTTCATCTCTTCCATGCAACATTGAGCATTCTGAAGACACAGAAAGAGGCTGATGATGGGCTAAAGGTTGTTCTTTACCAGGATTTTTCCCCCTTCACCCTAACCTGAGTATCATAGGAATGTCTCAGAAGATGCACCAGAGTGAGCCTGCTGTGATAGATGCAAGCTTTTGAATTGCACAGAGATCTTATTCAGATAGGAGACTTACTAGACTACCAGTTCTTCCCCAACTGCCTATGGTTTGGCACATGGACAGCTCCATTTTCCAATTCAGATTTTCAGCTTTTGACTGTCTAGATGTTTTGTATTTTGTCCAGAGAGCCAGCTTTGAGAGAAGAACAGAAGAACAGAAGAACTTGAACTTAAGACATTGTCTGTGGTCAGAAGAAGCTTGGGGGAAGGGGATGGACTCCCCTTAACCAGCCAAAGCTTCAGTAGCTTCTGCTCCAGGCCAGTTCTGCAGAAGAGTCTTCATATCCCTTCCAAAATGGGAGGAGGCATTTCTTTGGGCATTGATCTCCATCTAAATCAACACACACACACAATTTATAGTCGGATTCCAATTCCCCACTGGGAACCAGCAGGGCCGACGGCTGGAGATCTCTGTCTCTTAAGGAATTTGAACCCTGGATAGAGAAATGCAGCCTCCAGGTCGATTCTCTGGCTCTCCCGGTTAGCAGGTAGAGGCAAACGACACACCGGAGATTCGAGTCCGGCGTCTGATCGCGTGCAGACGAGAGCCAACCTGGTAGGACAGCGGTGTGCTACCGCCGCTTCACCGCCGATCCCTATCCCCATCTCGCCACGGCGCCAGCAGCTCCCTCGGGGTTCAGCGGCGATTTGCTCCGGCGGAAAATGGTCAGCAGCAATTTCTTCCCACTGGCCCCTCCCCGCCAGAGGCCTCCTTCGAGGTCAGCCTTTTTTGCCCGCTCCGTCGGCCGGTTAGCAGCTCTCCCCCCCGCGAGGCTGAGCGGGTCCCCTTATAGGCGACTCGAGGATGGCGCAAGAAAGCAATGCGGGAGGGGGCCTCTGCAGCCCAACCTCGCCTCCCCGATCCGACGTCGCTTCTTACCTTTGGGCGCAGCAGGCCAGACAAAGAGCTGCCAAAGCAGAGACGAATCCACTCAGCCTGCGTGCCTGAAATCTCCACATTTCCACCTCCAGGACCATGGAAGGGAAGGAAGGGGGAGGGCGGAAGGGGTGGAAGGGAGCCGCGCTCGTCGTCCTCCTCGGCGCGCAGGAAGGGCCGATGCCCGCGACCGATATCCTGGGTGCTCGATGTCGGGGTGCTGTAGCGGCTGCTTTTTAATCACATGAAGCATTTAAACATTGGGGAGGAAGGAAAGGGGAAACCGGGAGGGGAAGGGCGCACGGGAGGGTCCCTCAGCGCCGGCCCGACACTCCACTTCTGGCCCCCAGCAGCGGCAATTGCGGCAACAGCAGCATCCTCGGTTGCGCGAGCGAGCGAGCGAGCTCTCCTTTGGCGGCGGCGGAGGTCCCTCGGGAGCGAGCAGAGAGAAACGCTCGCGAACGGCCTCAGTGAAACGTAGACTCCGTTCTCGCGGGCGGCGGCGACCGGGAGGGAGGGAGGGAGAGTGGGCGGGGGACCGCGGAAAAGAGCCTTCAGACGAGCGACCGCGCTGCCTACTGGGCGCCGCTGCTGCCCCCGGCCCTGCCGCTACGCCGCCATCCGGCCGTGCAGAGGTTCGCTCCAGCCTGCTCGCCTCCTTCGGGACCGGGGCGGCGGACCAAGAGGAGGCGAGGTCTACGCGAGCAGCCGGGCAGCGGCGAGGGACGAGCCGCGAGCCACGCGCCGTTTGGGCTCACAGCAGCCCCCTCCCGCCCCTGCCAGGGTCCTCCTTCCCTATTTTTAGAAAGGGGCTGCCTGCGCATCTGGCTCGCTCCCAGAGCAGGAGATGAGGAAGGTGATTGGCACGGATGAACTGTAACGGGAGGGGCGGCAAGAAGCCAGCAAAAAGGGGAGGCGGGGGCGTTTCTAGGGAGAGAAGGAAACGCCGCCCCCGCATGCGGATGAACAGAAGATGGTTCCGCGGATTTTCCCCGACCCGCACCAACTCCGTCACGAGGAGGGGAGGGGGGGAGGGGCAAAAGGAGCCAGGGACAAAGAGAGAGGGAGCCCAACTCCTTCCTTCGCTTGCTCTCCAACCGCTGAGCCCGACACGGCTCTTCTCGGGCTGAGGTCCTTCTTAGTCCCGCTGGCAGCTTTGAGAATGCCGCCCGCACTTGGTTGCGTGTCTTAGGGACCATTCCTCACTCGAATGGCCGCTACCTATTTTCCCTCGATCTAGCCCGGGTTAAACCCTGTCGGCTTATCCAGTGGCGGCGGCGGCGGCTGCACTAGCATTTCCTGCTTAAATAGACCTAGGGCCATAGTGTGTGGTTCGTTTCTGTTTCTTCCCCACCATCCCTACTCCCCACTTTTGAGGAAAGGCGGTCATGCAACCACCCATCCTAATCAGGCATTGGTAGATTCCTGGAAGATGTGCTTGTATCTCAGCGAGCAAATCAAGAAATGCGGACCATTGGCCACTCACAAGCCAATTAGACACCCTCGGCAGTATTTCCCCATCACCACAGTGACGATAGTAGATGTGGTTAGTCAGCCAGGAGGACACCCTGCTAACAACCCTGCAAGATGCCACTCTGATAGCATCAAGAGCTGAGTTAGAGTCAGGGTCAGTCAAGAGGAGAAGCCCTTGTAAGTACTCCTCTCCCTCCAGCTAGCCACCTGCGAGGGCAAGGGGCTCATGCCCTTCAACGAGAACAGGAGAAGGGTTGTGATACTCACTTCCTGCGGATGGCCCAACTGGCTTGGCTCCAGGGGCAAGGCAGGGCATGCTGAGCCAAGAAGAGTCCCCATTTCCAGGGAGAGCAGCGGCTGGGTTCCTTCTTCCATGGGAGGTAGATTTTTACTTCAACAGATCTCCTTCCTGAGGTCTTGTTGGGCATTGCCCTGCTCCCTACAGGAATTCCAGGAGGACCAGACAATCTGAGTGGTACTTGGCATCTCCAACCAACAGTCTTCACTATTAAGTATAAATTGGATGCATTTTCATTTCAGTTAGAATAGAATAGAATACCTTTATTGTCATTGCATTCCACGAATACAATGAAATTTGTCTGAACATGTTTTCTAATATTTTTTCCTATTTCCATTCTAAAATAAACAGACCAGTCCTGACCTCCTCCCCCTGAGGCAAGGACTGGCAAACTGATGCCACAACACTCCCTTTCAACCTATACCCATAAGTAGGAGGAGGGACTGAAGCTCATGTAGGCTACCGTCCTGCACGGCATTCTACAGCAAGCCCACCAGCTGGGCTTCTCCATGCACCCTCCCATACTAAGTGCCCTTCAGATAAATGGGGAGGAATCCACAGGAAATGGTGGACCAGATACAGAAAGGAGACTACCTCTGAACAGTCATCCTTTTGTGTGTGTGTGTGTGTGTGTGTGTGTGTGTGCACGCGCACGTACACACACACACACACACACACAAATAGGCATACATGTGTATGTACAACTGTATGTTTCTACAGGCCAGGAAACAGAGAAGAAACCTATCTGCCTGGCACAGTGATGTTGGAAGTCCCTGTTCCTGAACTTATTTAATTATCAAGGAAAAGCCTCTTTGTTCAGATGAAACGGTGGTGTTTCTTGGCAAGAGTTGCACCTTAGAGAAGGCCCATGTTCTTTCAGCTCTCCTTAAGTCAGAAAGGGAAGAATCCCAGGATTGAAGATTTTGCTGTTCAGAGAAGACCCTCCCTGACTGCTGCTCAATTAAACATTTTTCTCCAGTCTCTTTTTTTCTTTCTATTTTCCATTTACCTGTTCTGTAATCACACTTGGCCAAATAAAGTATCCTATCCTATCCTATCCTATCCTATCCTATCCTATCATTCTCTTTCCTTTCTTCCAAAATTACATCAGGATACTTTCACACTAATTCAAATGATATCTATGTCTTCTGTGACTTCTCACTAAGCTCTAATGTCCATGAAAACTCTTGATGTCTGCATCTCATTTCTGTCAGCTATACTGTCTTTGAGGTGTGATCAGTGAATATAAGTAAATAATTTGGTTTACTGGGCCACTGGTTCCTGTTTAGTTCATCCCTGTTGCCACTCAGGGACCAAGTCATCTTGATGTAGATGTTTTCTTATAAGGGCACTGAGCATTCCACAAATGTGGGGGGAGGCTTCTCAAAAGTTTGATGGTTCCCCTCCATATGTGTGGGGAGGTTACCATGATCAGCACTGTCTTGCCTTGCTGACCTGGAGGGAGGATGAAGTGAGGGGGGGGAACCCATCTCTTTCCTTCACCTGTTCTGAAGCCAACTTAGGACTGAGACAACTTGGCCCTCAGAGCTGGGCAAATCCTGCCCTCAGACCTTCTCTGCCAGTTTGGGGATGGGAGGAGTGTATATTACCAAGTGGCCAGGGAGAGCCTTTCCCTGCCTTCCCTCTCTCAAGCTGGGAGTGCCTTAATTTTATCCTCAGAAAAGTTCTCTTTTCTGGCATGGCCTCAACTGTCTAAAATTGTGTTCTTTCCTTTCCAGAAATAGCTGTGCACCCATCTACCTGGAAACAGGGAGAGTGGAGGCGTATCCCCCCAAATACATGCAGGCTTTGTCAGATCATGCTGCATTGTTGCTTTTTCCTCATTCTTATATTTTTATGAATGATTCTAATTTCCTGATCTGGAATATTAAGGGATTCACTCTCCCTTAATACACAGCTCTATTTCCCCTGTTTGTTTCCAATAAACCAATGGCTCTTTCTAGGCCTTTGTCTGTGTTTTTTGAGGCATCGTATTTTATAAAGCACATTCTCCACTGGATGATCCTGCAAGTATATATTTGTTCAATTTATATGAAAACCTCTAAACACCACTAGCATTAGGACATGCTGCCTGCATATCACTCCAGAGGAGGTAGCCAGGGCATGAGTAGAGCACCTGGGACCCATGTTAGTGTACCCACCCACCTATGGGCAAAAGTTCAGACATCACATGCCAAGTTCCCATGCCAAAAATGTGAGGGAGAGGAAGGTAACAGGCAGCCAGCGGCCACCCCAGCTGGGAAAAGAGGCAGGCCTGTCAGAGCTTGGCTGCTCTTACCTGGTCCTCCAAGGGTAGCAGCTGGTTCTCCTTCGGTTGCTTCCTTTTTCTTTTGATGTTGCTCTTCCAGGACAGTTTCAGTTGTGCAGCCAGATTTGTGGAAGGCATGAGACAAAGTACCCCCAAATCCCAAGGCCCTTTGCCTCTCCTCGTCTTTTTCAGTTAAGGAAATAATAAACAGCTACCGCTCTGCCTGATCCTTCTGAACCTGTCTGTTGTGCCTCTGAAATCATCCTGCTGGCAGTGATTTCCACAGCATTAGGCTACAAACTGGATATAAGAAAAGAAACTTCTGCAAGTCCCAAATATCTAAGTATAGTATATAAAATCATACATTGCAATGTCCTACCTGTCAATGAATACTTCAGCTTCAACCATAACAACACAAGAACAAACAATAGATAAAAACTCAAGGTTAATCACACCAAACTTGATTGCAGGAAATACGACTTCAGCCACAGAGTGGTCAATGTCTGGAATACTCTACCTGACTCTGTAGTTTATTCCCCAAACCCCAAAAACTTTAACCTTAGACTGTCTACTATTGACCTCACCCCTTTTCTAAGAGGTCTGTAGGGGGCGTGCATAAGCGCACCAACGTGCCTACTGTCCCTGTCCTATTGTTTCTTTTTTATTTTTTTTAATTTTCCTTATATGTATTCATGTATTCATAACTATGTTTTTACTTATAACTATTATCTTGTAAGCAATTGACAAATAAAAAAAAATAAAAAAATAAAAATTTCCATCCATTTTACTCCCAGGGATAACTTCTAATTTTAATACAGTGAAAGAGGAAGAGAAATATCTTTGTCACCCTGTTCTCTGTGCCATGCTAGGTGTGATGGACTCCATTCTGTGTCTGCATTCATTCAAAAGCAAACTCTTCCCTGTTGTGGAAGTCTCTCCCCATAAAGGAGCCCCTGATACTGTGCTGTCCAGACAGTTTAGAGTTAATGGGATTTGGGTTAGTTAGTTAGTTAGGAATTGAGAACTGTCCCCTTAAGGGAATGCATCACGGTAAATGT